GGAGGAGGAGGAAGTGGAGGAGGAGGAAGTGGAGGAGGAGGAGGAAGAGGAAGAGGAGGAGGAGGAGGAAGAGGAGGAGGGGAAAGAGGAGGAGGGTGAAGAGGAGGAGGAGGAGGCGAAAGAGGAAGAAACTACAACTCCAAACAAAATCTCAACCTTAATTAAGAGCAATAAAGAACATTACAACACCCATTAAGATATCAAATGAAGAATGGGATTTGACTATTCTATCAGATACATCTTAATGTAGTCTTGGAAATAGATACTAGTTCTATTGTACAGACCAGGAGAAAGCTGCCAATACGTCTGGTTATAATTGGTTGTTTCAGTAGATGAAAAATGAAGCTAATCTCCCTAAATTCTTCAGGGTTTTGTCCCTAGCACATTAGGCAAGAGATTGGGGTTGGGGGTGATCTTCAGAACCCAAGGTTATGTTCTTTTTTTTTTTTTTTGAGAGAGAGAGAGAGAGAGAGAGAGAGAATAATAATTCTTTTAATATTTATTTTTCAATTTTCAGTGGACACAACTTCCTTATTTTATTTTTATGTGGTGCTGAGGATTGAACCCAGTGCCCCGCGCATGCCAGGTGAGCGCATTACCACTTGAGCCACATCGACAGCCCTCTTTTTGTTCATTTATGCTCCTTACAAAAGGATATCAATCTCTTTCCCTTTCTCTCTCCCACTCTCATACACACACACTTCTTGTTCTTAAAGAATTTTTTTTCACAATAGTTTCATGCCTCGCATGTGCCAAGCAAGTGCTCTACAACTGAGCCACAACCCCAGCCCACACATTAATATGGAGAATACATCAGAGTAAATGGATCATTTTGAAGCAGAAATTGCAAGTAAGAAGGGGAGATTGTAGAACTTTGGTAGAGACAGTCCAATGAATTTTCAGAGACAATGAAAGTAAACCTGGACACCCCTTCCTCCTCACTCTCTGGTATTTAGCAAGGCCAGTGTTACGTCTTACTTATAGTTATGGTCTATAAAGCAATGGTCTATAATGTCATTACTTATGAGATATGGAAGAAGCCTCTGTATCCAAAACCATCTCTTGCATGGCAAGGCTACCACAAAGTCCTTACTCTTAATGCACTCTTTAAGGTCTTTCTTATGAAGCCATATATGTTATCAGGCCATTATGTCACAGAAGTGTTGGAAGGAGGGATTAAGAGCAGCATAACATGGTAGCTAGCTGTCTCACTGCCATCAAGCAAAGCCTTGAGAACATGAATGGCAGCACTGGTAAGTTCTGTCAGGAGTCCAGGAATTCTGCAGTTTAAGGCCAGGAGAACAGTCCCAAGAGAGCTTCATAGAAAAAGATTCAATGGATCCAGGGACAGCTGGGGGCACTAAATGCCCAGATAAAAAAGCACAATAAGATATTAAAATTAGGGCACTGCAGATTTTTTAAAAAACTGAATAGAAATGGCAGTGGTAGCTTAAAGTCTTCCACATATACCCTTTGTGACAAGTTAGGCTACTAGGGTGGAGGGAGCATGGGATTGGGCTTGCTTGCTTGCTTATATACTTTTATGGCAATGCAAGGATTTTTATGCTCAAGTCCCACCCCCTCCAACTCCATGGTTTTAATATCTGGGATTTTAATCATTCATTTTGAGATCTGGCTCCCCTTGACTAGATTTTCAGCTTACAGTCCAGGCACGCAAACCAGACTAAACCTTCTGAATGACGTAGGCCACACTTATGGTACAAAATAGGCCTCTAGTTCCTCATTAGCTGTAGGCCCCACATCTCGAGCTATTCTAGCTAGTACAGGAAGGGTTTCTGGATCTGTCTGTACCCTCTAACCCAATGCTCCTGAGGAATGGAGTGTGCGTTGATCATGTTCTAACCCACTGGGATGCTTAACCCAGACGACTCAGACAACAAATGTGTGCACAAAAAAGAGGCGCTGGACACAGCTGCCTTGGCAATGGCTGCAAGCCCAACCCCTAGCACCGTGGAGGCCAAGAGTCCATGAGACCAAATATCCATTGGTAATTTGCCAAAGGAGGGTCTAGACATAGCTGTTTGCCCTTATCCCAACCCAGTCCCTTTGCCCACCCCTACCTGAGCTTACCTAGGTTCACCAGGTTGGTCACCATCAACTTGCTTCAGAGAAGAGGTGTTAATATTGCTGTTGGACAAAGATGGCTTTAAGAGTCTCCCTCCCTGTAGGTCATCAGGGTCTTTTTTCTTTTTCTTGCCAAAAAAGCTCCTGAAGGCTTTAAATTTGGATTTCTTTTTTCCTGAAAATGAGAAATGAAAGTGAGGCAGAGTGTGATAGAGGAAGGAAAGGTAGGAAAGGAGACAGAGCCTTCAAAACTGAAACAAACACTGTGGATCTCACCCCCAGGGCCCACTGCACCTCTCTTTTGGTTTTTACCTCTCTTGGAAACTCAGTAACCAAGTATTTGAGATGCTGGCAAAAGAAGCAACCCAAACCATAGCTTTATGCAGCCTCTGTTGAAGTCAAACAAGGTATTCACTTGCTTCTCAATTTCAACCATTAATTAATATGCACACTGATAAATCCAAACCAATCAGCAATAGTTGAACAGCACACACAGTAGTGAATGCACACACACCTCTTTCTTTTCCTAAGAATTTCGTTTGCGTGAAGTGATGATTGAGCCAATGGAAGCACTTGGCACCTCCCAGATACCACACTGGTAGCTGGAGTGACTGCAATCCAGTGGAAGAGCCAAGTTCACACATGTGAAAACCACTTTCAAACCCTAAAAAATCTAAGCAGGAGCTGATACCACCCAGACCGTGTGCTGAAAAAATGCAGACCTAAAGTGTGAGTGCCATTGGTTGGTATGGTGAATGAACACTTCCTTGAGGAAGGAGTTTATGAGCAAGAGAGAGGGCTGGGAATAGGAAAGAAGAAAGGGTTTTCCAGGTGAAGAAGCTGCCTGTGCAAAAGCTATGTCAAACTCAGGTAACAAAGGGCTTTTCAAAGTGTGTTTGTATGTGTGTGTGTGTATGCATGTGTATGTGTGAGCGTGTGTACTGCTATGCATGTTGTTTAACTATTGCTACTTGGTTTGGATTTATCTACACAATTGTTGCCCTTTGCATTTGCAGATAAATGAACGTTTGCTCCATCTATAATAAGTACCAGGGCAACAGTGAGAAATGTGAGCTTTAAATGTCCCTAAGGCTCTCTCTGTTTGGGCTTTCTTTAATTTCCTAATAAACACATGTACATATCTATATCAGCAGAAGAGAAGAAGGGGAGGGGACTCAACCTACATTCTTCAGAGGGAAAGAATTAGCTGTTATTTCTCTCAGTGCAATGATTTACCAACTCAGGTGTCTCATTTCAATATTCAGCAGTCTGGTCTCTGGAAGGCCTCACCAGCATAGCAGTGCTGCAGTGGTGGTGAGAGGTCTGTACTAGGGAATTTTCAATACAGCTGCCATTTTGAAAAGTGTGATGGTATAATGGAAAGTACCACCCAAGAATCTGAAATCTGGAATCCTAGGCTTCAATCTGATATCAGTAGGCTCTGTGACTTTACTCTGGGTAAGTCACTCAATCCCTGTGGGACTCAGGAAAACACACTGGCTCAGCATCTCCCGAAGTGTGTTCAGAGGTATGCTCTAAAATTTTGTTATGTGAAAAGGGGATCTGCCAACCAGGCAATCTGGGAAATGTTGAATTAGACAAAGTTCATTGCTTTCCAATAAGACTTTGCTGAAACTTCAAAATGCTAATGTGTAGAAAAGGGAGGTCAGTTGAATAGAAGAAAGGTACCAGGGGATGGGAGGATGGGAGGAAGGAGGAAAGCGCTTGGGAGAGATATTGGCCAAATTATATTGTTATGTTGTGTGCATGTACTAATATATTACAACAAATCCCACCATTGTGTACAAATTAATGCACCAATAAAAGTGGAGAAAAAATAAAATTAAATTAAAAAATGTTTCTATGTTTAATGAAGAAACTGGGCAACAATATGGTCTCCCAAATGCACATAAGCAGAATATCTGGCAAAATGCAATTTTGGAAATGCTACCTAGGGTTCCTTCTAGCTCTGAAATGCTATGACCTATTTATATATTAATTACTCCTATTAGAAAGGTTTCTAAGCTGGGCATGGTGGCTCATACTTGTAATCCAAGTGACTCAGGAGGCTGAGGCCAGAGGATTTCAAGTATGTGGCCAGCCTCAGCAATTTAACAAGATCCTATCTCAAATAAATAAATAAATAAAAAGGACTAGGGATGTAGCTCAGTGGTAGAGTACCCCTGGGTCCAATCCCCAGTACCAGGGGAAAGAAAAAGTCAGTTTCCTAACCTTCAAGGATGCCATTAAATCTGTACAATTCATGCCTCTTTTCTCTAGACAAATAAAACTTGACTGTTATCACAATGAGTTTTTCATCTGAATACTCTCTAGTCTGTCCATTAATTCATTCATCTATTCAAAAATATTTATTAAGGTCAAACACTTACTCTGCTCTGGGTGTCAATGACAAAGGAATAAGATATGGTCCCTATATCTTAGTTACTGTCCCCACATCTGGGTATATTTAAAATGACCTTTAACCTCACAAACAGCATAGAGTAGGCTGGTTCAAAATCATCTCTATTTTGCTCTTGCGCCTTCTGTCTTAATCTCCTCACCTCCAAATGGTTTCTAAAACCTATGGAATTGTGAGGATTTTTGTAAAATTCTCATTAATACAATGACAATTTCACAGTTTGATGTTAGAAAATACTTCACAACAAACTCTCTGGGAAAATTCCTTGATACCTATTATTTGCCTATTGATGTGGTGCAAATACACATCCACTATGACCAACTTGAAGCTACCAACATGACATTTGGGAAGGAGATGGGCCCCATCTCCCAAGCCAGCCTGAACCACCTCCAACACACTGGTAAGTAATTCCCACCCAAGGAGGATGAGTTGGGCAGAAGGTCTCTCACAAACAGAAAGCAGCATGCTACATTTTAACCTTGGGAGATATTGCCATTTTCCAAACCGAAGGAACAAGATTTATTGATTCTTAACAAGTGGGTATCCTCCAGGCCTCCGAACCTTTATGCTCAGAACATAGTATAAAGAATGGTCTGAACATTCACTAGGTTTGGAAACACAGTGACTATTGTCTCTCTTGCTTTAAACCCCCAGAATGGAAGAGAGGAGGGCAAAGCTAGAGAATTTGGAGTTGCAAACCTGCTTCTCATAAATCAGCAAAGACAAAGAAAGGAGAATCAATAGCCAGTAGCTCCACAATCTATAATCACTGAATAGCTGAATAAAGCATTTCCAATTACCTCTTCAGGCTGTGAAACCAAATTTACCAAACATGATCATTGTACAAACAGACAAAACTATGCACTAAGATTTTTATGGTTCTGAATTAAGAAAATGACTTGTGACTTGTGACTGTAGCATGTACTAAAATTGAACATACATATATTCCAATTTTCTCCCAAATTTTCATTCTTTGTTGATAAGGAAAAAAGAACTTATTTCCCACAAGGATTCAAAACAGCTTAAGCAAGGTGTGTCTTTTCAATCATGGCCCTAGAAGAAAAGAATGCTTCCATTTCATATAGTATGGAAGTCACATAGCTTTTTTAAGCATGGAGTTGGGCAACACAGAGAGAAGGTAACTGCCAAACATGGTGGATTAGCAGCTTGTTGATCCACAGCAGTGAGATCACATCCTTAGTGGACAACCTGTTGCCGTGGCCAGGCATAATATGTCAGCTGCAGGAGTCTAAATCTTCATTCTGTTTTTTTTTTGTTTTTTGTTTTTTGTTTTTTGTTTTTTTTTTACTTCTTTTCTCCCAGTACTGGGGATCACACCCAGGGCCTCACACATGCTAGGCAAGCACTCTACCACAAACCTATATCCCCAGCCTCTTCAGTTTGCTTTTGATTAAAACACCCCAGTAATCCTGACTTCAATAGGTCTCCAGGTACGGAGATGAGCTCTGGTCTCAGCTCTGGAAATGAGATGCAAATCTGGGAACAATCCACATGCTATGTTTTTTTTTTTTTGTTGTTGTTTTTTTGTTGTTTTTTTTTTTTTTGGTGGGGAGCAGGGTACTGGAGATTGAACCCAGGGGTGCTTAACCATTGAACCACATTCCCAGCCCTTTTTATTTTTTATTTTGAGACATGGTCTCTCTAGTTGCTCAGAGCCTCACTAAGTTGCTAAGGCTGGCCTCAAACTTGCAATCCTCCTGCCTCAGCCTCCTGAACAACTGGGATTATAGGAGTGTGCCACCACACCCAGTACTATGCTGCTTTTGAAACCCTGATGGAATTCAACATGGTTGACATATATTCAAATGCATTTCTTTTTTGTTGTTGTTGTTTATTTATTTTTATGTGGTGCTGAGGATCGAACCCAGTGCTTTACCATGGGCAAGGCAAGCGTTCTACGGCTGAGCCCCAGCCCCAGCACCCATAATTAAGCATTTCAAGCTTTCTTTTTAAAGTGTTGCCCTTATACTACCAGAAGTTGAGCCCTGTAAAGTCTGCCTTTCAAAAATTAATAAAAGTACAAAGGATAGATAGGCCTAGACAGCAGGTAGGAATCAAAACCCATATTTGTATTCAGCAATGTTTACATAGGCCACCTATATACTGGGCAACTTATGCTGCCAAAAAGAATAGCAGTCATGGTCAGTGAACTGAAAACTGAGAGCTGGCAGTTATCTGGACTTCTTCTATAACAAAGCCATTGACTTCTCTGTCTAAGCCCAAGGACTGTGTATTCCCAAACAGCAAATAGCTTTCAGTATTATCACCCGTGAAAGCCTACAGCATGTTACATGCCAGAAAATAACCCAAAGAAATCACAGCTAAATCCAAAGAAGAAATTGTTGCTTTTTAGTTATATATTTGCTTATCCACTATACATGTAGGCAGCCCATCTAGGTTGAATTTAGCTTTAAAAATGGAACAACCATTGCTACCTGAAAAGAAAACATCTTTTACCCTGCTTGAAATTAGCTCACATACTATGTACCAAACTGCAAAACTTTGAGGTCAACTTCAGTATGATTTGTCCTTCTTTTGCAAACACCAAGACCAGTGTTCAGAGCTGATAAGAAAGGGAACGAGAGGTTAAAGAAAACATGTCTTACTAACCTTTCTCCCCTTTAACCTCCTAGTAGCCATCTTATTCTCTCGCCAGCACTGACTAGTTCTAAAAATATACCTAAATCTTTTATCTTGAAAGAATCTTGAGAACAGAGAAAAGGCATTTCCTTAATGTACACTCACCTTTTTCTGTAGGCATTTGTCTAGCTCAACGATAGATCCATTGGCTTGGTAGTTGGATCTGCCTTGGTCAGGAGACCTTTCATTCATTTACTCATCCATTCACTTATTAAATGTTTTGGAGTGCCTGATCACTCTCTCTGAGACTTAAAACTAAGCAGCAGTATCAAAGAGATGAAGAAGACACAAGTCTTGCATTTAAGGATCGGTGACCATCCTCAGCATCCCTTGACCCACATATTAAGTGAAGTCAGACCTCCAGGAAGTCACAAGGTGGTTCCAATCTCTCTGTCCTTCTTGACAAAGTCTTCTGCACCATATACAACTAAAGAAAACTCAGCAAAAAGAAAAAACAACCTGAAGAATAACCAATCCACTGTTAAATTCAGTTCTGACTCTAAAAGCAATGTCTCATTTTGTGTCTTTCTCTATTGTGTGTATAGCAAAATCTTATCACTATTTGTCACTTTTATATCCTTTTCTACTACTCCGTTTATGACACCTGTCACTCAGAGAAGGAACCACAATTTAGACAATGAATATATATCTGCTAAGTTTTGTAAAAGAGAATTTTTTTGTAAATTGAATCTTATTTAACAGAAGTGTGAGGTGGGATCTTTTGTTCCTATCACCCTTTACTCCTAAAATCCCAAATTCCTCCATTTGTTAAACATGGATTACTATCTACCATAAAACCTCAGTTGAACCTGTCAAGTCATGGGCTATTCTGATTTTTTTTTCCAAAGAAGATTGCAGACACACCGACAGACCATCAGAGTTGGAGATGACAGAGAAAAGGTTAGAAAACTGAAAAGTATATATGAAGTCAGTCTATTGTTATTAGAAATTTCATATGAACTTATTTTCTTACAACTTGGTTCTTTTTCCTAGGAGCTTTACAACTTGGTTCTTTTTCCTAGGAGCTGAACACAGTAAATCTAGTTTTAGTTATCACGATTTTATTGAGTGACTTACCCTCATCGCTGGTCTCCACAATTTCTGTACAGCTAGGAACATCAGTTAGTGACTCAGCCATACTAGGATCACTAAAAGAAAATACAGAGCAAGAGAAAGATCATTGTTTGATATCCAGGATCTGCTGTTGTTTCACCCTACCCCTTATGCTTCAGTTAGATTCTGAAACTATTCAAAAAATGTACAAGTAGAATCACCATTAGGGAGAATTGGACTCTTAAAAATTCAATGATTCTGTTAATATGAAATGTCCAGAATTGACAAATACATAGACATAGGAAATGTCTTATTTAGGGTTAGGGTGATGGGGCTTTTGGGGGTGACAGATTAAAAATCCCTACGATTTTCCTGGCCATTGTAATAAACATGGCAGCATCCCTACTTCCTGTCACTAAGGAAGACTTTTTAGATGTTGGGAAAATAAACTATCTCTGAGTTTTATGGAAGCCCATAGAAAAGGAGCCTGTAACCCAAACACCAGGTCATACTAGGCTGACCTTGCTCTTAACCCACCACGTTTGGTGTTAGAAGAAAAGAAAATAACCACTAAAGAGAAAACTCTGGAAGACAAAAGGCAAAACAAAGAGGGCATTGTGACAGCATCCAAACCCCTAGAGCACTAAGAGAACCATTCAATCTAACCTCGAGTTTAGATGGTCTGAAATTCTTTCTGGCATGTTTGCCTTATTTCTCCAACCAAATCCTAAAGGCCCTAAGGATAACACCACCATCATCCCCTCAGCTGGGACATGTGGAACTGTCTCTCCCCCAACAAAACACACCAATCTCCCTGTGATTTCAATCTCTCTTCCTATTACCACAACAGCTGTCTGCTTCTTTTTAAAGCAAAACTCAACAAAAGAGTTATCCATACTCACTGTATTAGGTCCTTACTTTCTATGCTCTTGATAACTCTCCATCCAACCAGGCTTCCAAAGCCAACTGCTTCCAAAACCCACCACTAAAACTGCTCTTGTTAAATTCAGCAGTTGCCTCACCTTCTGGAAGCTTCTGACTTTTCTTTTGGGCACTCCTCCTTTTTTGAATAATTTTATCACTTGCCTTTTGGAACATCACACTCCCCCAATTTTCTGCTTACCTTATTGGTTGTTCCTTCTCAGTCTCCTTTTCTGAATCTTGAGCCTCTCCCTGACTTTGAAATGTTGTATCATCAAGGCTCTGTCCTTGGCCTTCTCTGTCATTTACAATCATTTCCTAGACCAGTCACATTAAATAGCAATGTCAACATTAGCATAATTACAAGCCATATATGTAATTTTAAATTTTCTAGTGACCACATTTTTAAAAGTAATGTTAATAATAATCAGGTGGGATCACATTTAATAATATATTTTATTTAGTCCAATATAACCAATATGTTATTTCTACATTAATGATGTATTTTAAATCCTTCTTTTCATACTAAGCTGCCACATCATTTGCATGAACCCCTTACTCAAACTCCTCCTTTCCCAGTCAGTGACTTGTCATTAAGCTCAGAGTAAAATCCCAGCCTCTTACCATGGGTCTTATGTGATCTGGCTCTATGTCCATTTCCCCACTGACCCACCAAGCCTGCTACTCTCCTACCTTGTCCCTGGGCTCCAATATACCAAGACTCTTTCAATCTCAGGATCTATTTTATTTTTTATTTGTTCTTTGAGTTATAAATCTCAGGATCTTTACATTAGCTGCTCCCTTGCCTGGAGGGCTCTTTCCCAAGACAGGTATATGTAGCATTCACACATTCAGTATTACTCCCCTTGGTGAGCACTTCCATCATCATCCTAGTTAGAGCACCCCCATTTCTCCATCCCATTGTCCTTTATCAATATCTTCACAACACTTCTCACTACCTGAAATTATATCCCACATTTTTTAAATATTTATTTTTTTAGTTTTAGGTGGATACAATATCTTTATTTTATTTTTATATGGTGGTGAGGATTGAACCCAGTGCCTCACACATGCTAGGTGAGCATTCTACCACTTGAGCCACAACCCCAGCGTAATTATATCCCATATTAATAACTTATTTTCTAGTTTCTCATCTGTTTATGTTACTAGAATATACACACCATGAAGTCAGGAGATTTGTCTATTCCATTCACCACTGATTCTTCCATCACCTAGAATGGAAGTCACAGGATTTACTGGAGGATTTGACATACAATGTGAGGGGAATAGCAGACTCTATAAATATTTGTTGGATGAGTGCATAAATTCAATAAAAGAAAGGGAAGAAATCTAAGAGCTGCTTCTGTAGTCAGCAATAGAAATAGAGGCATGCTAGTGGAGACAGAGAAGGACTCATTCTGGTGGAGAAACTCCCTTGTTCTCAATTTAGCAGAACCTGCCCTCTTCTCCAGCCAGGTGGGCCTCACCCCTCCCTGGGTGATTTGCCTGTGCAGAACATTCTTGGGTCCTTCTAATCCTTGATGCATAGAGCATATTCCCGGGAGTCCCAGCCATATGAACCCTGGGTGTGGATCTTCATTCTAGGCCAGGACACTCACAGAAGAGAAAGGGGTTTCTCTTCCTACTTAACAGCCACCATCCCTGACAGAAGTTCTTTCTTTTTGTTCTCAGGCTGACCTTACTAAATAGAACCTTGCTTCCTGATATGGTTTGGAACTAGACAGTCCTCCAAAGTCATATGTGCTTAAGGTTTGGTCCCCAATGCAGTTATGTCCAGCAGTAGAGTCTTTGGAAGGTGATTGTATCATTCAGGCTCTGATCTCATTGTAGACTGATCCATTGACGGATTCATAGCTCAGTGGGTTTGATGGGAAAGGGCTTTGTTATAAAAGCAAATTTTCTCTTTGCTTCCTGTTCACCATGAACTCAGCAGCTTTCCTCTAGTATATGCTTCAACCATGATGTGCTACCTCAACACAGGCCTAAAAGTAACCAGACCAAATGACCACAGACTGAAACCTCTGAAACTGAGCCAAAATAAATCTTTCCTCCCTTAAGTTGATCTTTCTCCGGTATATTATAACAGTGACATAAAGCTAACACACTTCCCAAGTATTTCCTCATAAAGGCGTGTATTTCTCTTATGATTCTCATTGTGGCTAACATGAATTTTAAAAAAGTTGTTCCTTAATTATACCAGTACTCATTAATTATGGCCTTGGGCCTGACTCATCCATATTTCTATTTATGATATCCAGCAAAAACTTTAGGCCCACTATAATCTTGTGTTCCCTGAAGCCCTCCGGTCTCCCAGCAGCCCACCTTCACTCACATTGTCATGGTCTGGTCACCCAAAATCAGAATCATCGGTCATTCATAAACATAGCACGTTCTTCTTTCTCCGTGATCTATACAGGCTTTCCACTTAGCCTGGAACACCATCCTTTTAATCCAACATCCTTGTAGTCATACACATTCTTTAAGACCCGGATCAAATGTTGCCACTTCTGCTCCGGGCTTTTTTTCCCCTTTCTTGTGGGTTCTTTTATTGTTGATACTATGCTTCTTGTCTTATGAGGTTTTTTTTTTTCTTTTTTTTTTTTTTTTTTTGGTGTGTAATCTTTTCGTTCTTTTTAGATATACATGACAGTAGAGTGTATTTTGGCATATTATACATACATAGAGTATAACTCATCCTAATTAAGATTCTATTCTTGTGGTTGAATATGACATGGAGTTATACTGGTCATGTATTCACATATGAACATAGGAAGGTTATGTCTGATTCTCTACTGTCTTTTGAATTCCCATCCCCTCCATTCCCTTCATTCTCCTTTGTCAATCCAATGAACTTCTACACTTCCCCTCCCTAGCCTCCCTTGTTGTGTCAGGGAGAACATTCAGCTTTTGTTCTTTTGGGATTGGCTTATTTCACTTAGCATGATAGTCTCCAGTTCCATCCATTTACTGGCAAATGCCATAATTTCATTCTTCTTTAAGGCTGAGTATTATTCCATTGTGTATATATCCACATTTTCTCTATCCAGTCATCTGCTGAAGAGTACCTAGGTTGGTTCCATAGCTTAGCTATTGTAAATTGAACTGCTATAAACATGGATGTGGGTGTGTCACTGTAGACTGCTGATTTTAAGTCCTTCAGGTATAAACCAAGCAGTGGGATAGCTGGGTCAAATGGTGGTCCCATTCCAAGTTTTCTGAGGAATCTTCATACTGCTGTCCATAGTGGTTGCACCAACTTGCAGTCCCACCAGCAAATGTATGAGTTTCCCCTTTCCCCACATCCTTGACAACATTTATTATTACTTGTATTATTGACAATTGTCATTCTGCCCATACTTTTGCCATAACTGATGTCACTTTGAGGACAGGGACCACATTTTGCTTATCTGAGTATCACCAGTACCTAGCATGATACTAAGCACATAGAAAGTGCTCATTGCATGTATTAGTGAAAGGATGAATACGGGAGCAAGTAGGGAAGAGTATTAGTGTAGCAAATAGGAGGCAGGGAAAAAAGTGATCCCCTTGTTTGAACATATGGGGACACACTTTAAGTAAAAGGCTTCTTTGCATGAAATCCTATGAAAAAGCTGGTTACACAAGTAAGGAAAGAAGATATACAAGTTTTTTCTTCCTTCAGTACATGATGAGAGACCTTCACAGCCACTTCCAAGGAGCATAAGCAGTCATGTAATAATAATAATCAGGAAGACTGTTCCAGCAGAGATATAAATTGCATATCAAGTCACAATTAAACTGCTTCTTGGCCTGAGGTTGCGGCTCAGTGGTAGAGCGCTTGCCTAGCATGTGTGAAGCACTGGGTTCAATCCTCAGCGCTGCATATAAATAAATAAATTTATAAAATAAAGGCCCATTAATAACTAAAAAATATTTTTAAAATAATGCTTCTCTAGGGCTGGGATTGTGGCTCAGTGGTAGAGCTCTTACCTCGCATGTGTAAGGCACTGGGTTCAACCTTCAGCACTACATAAAAATAAATCACCAAATAAATGCTTTGTGTCCATCTACAACTAAAAAAAAAATTAAATGCTTATCTAGGCCAACCCCAAATGCTCAGGTTCCAAAGTTGCTCTTTCCTTTTTAGCTGTCTCACTTGATAAC